CAGAAGGGGACAGAGGGGGGGATGCCTCCCCTGCACCCTGGTGACACACCTTTACCCCAAGGCCCTGCATGTGTGGGTGGTTGTGGTGGAGCGGGAAGAGGGAGGCAGCTGGAGATGGGGAGGGAAGGAAGGGAGGGGAGGGAAGGAAGGGGGGGGGGGAGGAAGGGAGGGTTGTTTCCTCTTTCTAATGGGAGCCTTATCCCTCTGTCTGAAACACAAACACACATACATGCTATCATTCACAAAATGGACAGTGGTTGAGCAATGGTGGAGTTTGAACCCAGATGAAGCAGGATGGATTATTATTATTATTATTATTATTATTATTATTATTAGTGTTGTTGTTATTTGGGGATGTGTGTTTTTCTGCACTATGCTGTGTTCGGGTTTCCACTCATATGTAGAGGCAGGGTGTGTACATGTGTGGCTGGAGGATGGAGAACAGCCACATGCAGGCCTGATGGGTGTGGCCCTGCAGGAGGACTGGCCACACCTGAAGTTCCTGCCACACACCTGTTGGTGATCAGGGCTCGTCGGGGGAGCTACTTAGGAGAGTGTTGGAGCTCCCACCGGGATCATTAAGCTAAGACTCCAAGTCAGTGTGTAGTAGTAGGAAGTGCGGATCGTGCACGCGCGGGTTCAGTGTTTAACGGCTGCTTCTGTATTGTCCTTCAGGTGGAACGAGGGACCAGAAGGGCAGCACGCACAGGGTGTGCAGAAACACAACTGCCGGGAGCACGAGCACGGACGTCGGAGGGGAACACACACATGGGAGTCTAGGGAGCAAAGGGGATTTATTGTGCATCTGTTACCTTCACTGTAAATAAAGTGCACTGTTTGCATCGCAGAACCATGCGTTTTGGGTCCTCATTCCCCCATATCCCCACGGTCTGCCAGCCAGACCGTGACATAATGAGTCCAGTTACAGCAAAGAGGACAACAAAAGCTTCAATGACAACATAGATGATCATGACCCTGGACCATCCTGGTAAGGCTTAAAAAAAGAAAAAGAAAACAAATATGTTCATTTTTTTCAGAAGAAGCGTCATAAATGATTGTTTATTGGTTAAAATGTTTTTCTGTTATGTCAAATATGTGCTTTTTAACTTACATTTACTGAAAAATATTCATATTTACCACATAAAAATAAAAGTAAATAGGAAACTGTCAAATAAAATTTACACTGTTATCTTTAAATTCCCACCCTCTTTCTAAAGGTTTACTTATGAAGTTTTTCTAATGAGATTTACTGTTCTTAGACTGGCTTATACCCAAAGTCTACAGCTTTTGAATCAGACCAGTAAGAATTAAGCCTTACTTTCACTGGTCCTAATCACAGCTTTGTCCAGTTTGGTGACGATGTCCTCCTTCACACCGAAGAAGAACACCGAGTAAAAAAGATTTCTGTTTTTGTCTCTTACCTGTTCTCTTTTTGTAGACAATAAAACCAATTACAGCAATCACTGCGAGAACAAGCGTTGCAACGATCATCGGGATGATCATGGCGAGTGAATTTCCTGTAGATGACACAACAACAAATGAATCATAACCTGAACAAATGAAACATGTTAAAAGAGACAAACATCAGTTTGCTAATCAGATAATACAAAAAAAAAGATGCTCGCAAATTTAAATAAACTGTGAAAAGACAGCAAACTGGACAATAATTTAAATCAGAGCACCCAAAACTTTAAATGGTAATATTTATTAAGAAATTAACAAATCAGTATCAGTATGAAAATCTTCATAATCATGTATACAACTTACACTTTTCATCAAACTCAAATAAAAGCACATGAACCGCATGATTTTTACACTAAACTTCGTGCATGTTTCCTACCTTCACTTTTACCCTCGTTGGTTTTGATCACTGCTTTGCCCAGTTTAGTGATGACGTCCTCGTTCACACCAGAGAGCTGAAACACACAGTCATATCTCATCCAGTCTTCAGGTCTAACAGATCCGAGGTCCAGATAAACACTCATCTGGAAGGTCCCATCATTGTTGGGAAAGATCTCTCCTTTCTCTACACCTTCATGAAGCTCCACTCCATCTTTCCTCCAGAACATCTCAGCTCTGTGAGGATAGAAACCTGTAGCGTGGCAGATGACTGGAGAAGAAGGAGTCTTCTGGAGGAGAGACACTGAGGGAAGAACTGGAGAGACAGAGAAATTTTACTGATTCTCTTTTTAAACAGTTATAATAATTATTATTATTACTATTACATTGGAATATGTACAATGCTGGTATTATGATTACATTTAACAAAATAACCCTTTTTTTTCACGTTTTCAATTTTCCACAGCCATCATGCCTAAAACCAGAATAAATTTCAAATACAACATCAGTTGACCAGGTTGTGAAACAAAATTCGAACTTCAAATACAAAAACAGAATATCATGTGCAAACAAAACACACTCAACCACAAGGTACCCAGCTTGTGCTCAAGAAAATGTTATAATAGCAATTCGAATATTTCTCTGTATTTATGAAAATATTATAAAAGAGATTTCTTACTCAAAAAAACACACATTTAAGATGAGTTGTATTCTCCCATCTCCTTCTGCATGTTTCTTAAATGCAATTAAATATTATATTTCGCTTTATAATTACAAAAATGTAACATTGCATTACCTAAATATTCCCTCCCAAAACTTGGAGAAGACGTGGCATGAAACTAAATCAGTTCGAGTGAAACCTACCTGTTCTCTTCAGACTTTTCTGACCATAGTTCACATATTTCTTCAGCCAGTCAACACAGTCCTGAGTTAAGTACTTTCTCCTCTTCGTATTCCAATCTGCATCACGATCCCACTTATTTTTGGTCATGACAGCCTGAGGTGCTGGAGTGATCCATGTCTCCGTGTTTACATCAAATGTTATGAAGTCTTCTCCATCATAGCCGTACTGGTGATATCCTCGAACAAACACATCATCCCATTCACAGCCATACATTAACTGGACAACGTGGATACCTGTGAGAGAGAGAAGCAAAATCATAGTGCGTTGCAAAGAAGTATTGATCCACAGACACCAAAACAGAAGAGCTGATTACTTCTTAAACAGCCAGCCGTCATGTAAGATGCAGAATGAGACAAAAAGACAGTAGCTGGGGTTGGCGAGCATAAATTTATTCTGATTTAATCTATGGAGATAACATGTCATTTTAAAACATTTAGTGATTGTTTATTATTGAGTCAGAAACACTGCAAATGAGCAGCATCTGATGGTCTCTGACTCTTCAGTGTGTGTGTTGAATCAGACTGTTGTTTATTCAGGTGTGAGTTCAGACATGAGTCCAACACAGAACAGACATATAAATAAAATGATGTTATTTACAAAAAACTGGAGTAATGCAGTTGGAGAACATGTGAGTGCTGGTTTACAATGAAGATGAAAAGATAAGATAAATCTTAAACAAACCTCCAGTTTGATTGAAGCGGTGCTTTGCAATTTCAGTGTTGTTTCTGAACACCTGCTCAGCATTACTGAACCCTCTACTCTCCGTGTCCCAGTACTGTGGATCATCTTCTGTGACGTTGCTCATCCAGTCCTGTTTGGGCACAGCTCTCCTGGTGTTGCTGTTATAGTGAATCATCTGAACATCATCGACCATCCCAACAACCACAAACTCTGGGAGGCTTGGGACCTCAGAAGATCCAATGTAGAAATACTGCAGAGAGTGAGTGACTGGAAAAAAGTTATTGACAACTTAAAATCCCATGTTTCATTTCATTTTGTATATACACAATACACAGTAGATAATTAATCACTTCAATAAACAATATAAAGCTGAAAATAAACCTAATAATATATTCTGAAATTTTTTTTATTCAAACTGACAGAAAAACATCCAGCAACAATTCACTTAATAGCTCAGTATGAAACGTAAATATAAACAAAACCCCAAACTTAAAACACGAAACTGTAAAACAGCTCAATTTGGGTGTTTTTGTACAGAAATGCAACCTTTCATAGCAGCATTTACAGAAACACAGAAGCTGTTTCATTTCCACATAAATCAAAAATATTTAGGCTATGATTAAATTTTCAAAATCCCTTATATAAACATATTTGTAGTTTATACAATGATTTGAGCTACATTTGTTTTTAGATTACACCAGATGGGCTACATCATGTTCTCCTGTGGAAATACATAAAAAAGTACAGACTAATGAATGTTTGCAAAGCAAGCTATAAATACACGGTTGATAGCCAGCACGCGATTACTTAATGAATATGTAACAAACTAAAGCTCTGCTCTTATTCTTTGAGAAACATTAGGCCAAGACTAATCTGTGACGCCTGAACAACCCTGTTTTCCGCTTCAGCACCCAACACCTACCTGCAGACACACACACTGCGCAGCAGAAGAGGAGGAGCAGAATAATCGGTCTCATTTTTAATGTGAAACAGAAATGAGAAGAGAAAACGAACAGGCTCGGTAATTACTGTAACTTCTCCATAGTCGAGAAATTTCTTGCCAAAAGTGGTCGTCTCAGAAGATGGCCGTTTTAGGGGGGCATGTACGTTTTTCAGTGTGCCTTTTGCGGGTTTACGTTTTGCACGTACGTCATGTGGGAGATGTTTTAATGATTGTATGAAGAAATATACCTCACGTGGGCTGTACTCCAGTAAGCAGATTTAGCTAACAACTCTGAGATGAGGGAAAACTCCGAGTTAGTTATAGTGGTAACAGACTTTATGTCTTAAACTTGCTAGATTGCTAGAACAGATTTTCTTAAACTAACTCCCTCTGACTCCTCCCCTCCTGCCGCAACTGAACCTGCGTGACTGACACTCCGATTCATTTCCTCATTCATAACGTCGCTGTCAAAGCTAAATTATTCCACTGAAAAACAATCTGTCATCTGTAAGTGAAAATTCAAGGTTATTTTCCAATAATTTCAACTTACTTAATCAACATTGTGAAAAAAATCAAAAACAGTCAAAACAGAACAAATGAATCTGCAGCAGTTTCAATTTTTAAAAACACTGAAATCCCAGTGAGAGGTTTGTTTGCTATGAACACTTTTCAAGCCTGTGTATCTCAAATGTCAGGACACTGATGTTGATTATGTACATATGATCAGCTAAGAATGAAATCTATGCTGCCAACTGCTTGATTCTATGGATAGTAATGCAGCTGTCAAACAGCCAGGCAATCCTCTGAAATATTTACCATACAACTCATACTCATCAATGTTCGATCATGTGTCATGTTTAATTTGTCAAAGTGATGTAAAAATCTGTCACAGTTGGAGATAAGGTAAATATTTGAGTCACTATGAGGCTGAAATTACTTTAAAATTCTGAAACTGAACAATGTGTTTTTAAAGTGACTTTTTAAATGCAGCATGCAGACACTGACCGTAATCGGATTAGATTTAATTTTGAAGTGTGCACACAGATTCCTTATTTAAAATTACTTTAAATAGGTCATCCTCTCAAAACTATGCTGAAAAACATCTCAGAGCTGGCTGTGTGGCAGGGTGTGAGTAGGGAGTATCTTTGTTGACTGCTCAGATTGCTACTCCCATCATTGCAACAATTCAGTTTGTGATGTTTCCTCCCTCTTATATATTCCACAGTCAACTGTAAATGCTGTTATTGTTATTGTTATTAAGTGGGAGCACTTAGGAAACACATAAGTGCAAAACCTCCTTTATGGCATAGGTTTCCATGGCAAATGCATGTCCTGTAAGTGTAACAGCATGTCCTATTAGCCTGTACTTTTGTCCACACAGCAGTGGGATATAAATCAATATCCATCCAGCCATTCTCTTCCGATTATGATCACGTTGTTGAAAATATTTAAAACATCTCTTGCAAAATACCTCATATCCTTTCTCATGAAAAAAAAATGTACATAGAGGAGAGCTTAAGTTTGACCAGGTACCAAAGCAAATCATTCGTACTGAACTAATAATGTAAATATGACGGTGTATCACAAAAGATTGATATCAAACTGATCACTTGGTTGCGTTACTGTTAGCAGAGACGGGTCCTGCAGCAGAATCTGCATGAATATTGAAGATACTTATATTGTCTAGACGGAGAAATAATCACACGTGGGGCATCGGCTTTTCACCGGAACAACACAATTCTCGCGTGCACTCTGCAGCATAACAGGAAGCATCCTTTCAAAATAAAATCACAACAGATGACAACGAGGGGATACCTATTAACTAGCTCAACACCCCCACTTGCACTCACGTTGTCAGCTTTACATACATTCCAAAAGAAACAGTTTTTCTTTACTATTTGTTTACACTCCAAACATATATTTCTCAAACTTCAATAACTTCCCCTTTGTTGCTGGCTTTGTCATAACATCGGCCACCATCAGACCTGTCGGACAATATTCCAATATCAAATTTCCAGCATTAACTGTTGATCTCACAAAATGATATTTGATATCGATATGCTTACACCTCTGTCTGTTAACAGGATTCTTTGCCAATGCAATAGTCCCTTGATTGTCCTCAAAAATCTTTGGCGGTCTCTTTTGATGCTCATACATGCTTTGCAACAGTTGTGTCAAGTACAAACATTCTTGTATTGTTG